CAAATACCCCCATCTCTAGTTGGGATGTGGCTGCAGTCCCTCTGTGCCAAAACATCGTGAAGGGCAGTTTTGGACTTAATTAAATGGTGAAGCAAAAGTGGGAGTGAGTGAATACGAATACCCCCATCTCTAATCCCAACTGTTCTTGCTTCAGCCTTCCTACAGTAACCATATTACAGATTGTGTGGTCATCTTCTGGGTTCTTCTAGCACTGGGTATTGAGAGAAATTGCTATTGGAGTTTATATATGCTAAAACCTCCATTTAAAAAAGCCAGGAAATGAAATTCTTCAAAAATCCTGTGTTTTATTAATATGGGATATTGTGCTTCTGAATTCAGGATTTAGAACACCAAGAAATGGCCGATATTGCTGCACAATTTCATGATCATGTTGCCAACACACACAAAAAAGATGCCAAACTTTACATAGCAGCCTGAATGTTGAGGTATACCCTGTCAACAGTCAAGATGGCCTGCAGAGTACCCTCTTGTGCTCACTACCATTTACAAAGAGACACCAAGCAGAGGAGAATTCCAAAATGTCTAGAGGAAATGGTAGTGAGCACAAAATGGTATCTGTAAACTTTGGCATCCTTTTTCCTGCTGGCAACGTAGGCATGATATTGTGCAGTAATATCAGACAATTCATAAACTGGAGGTTTTAATTTTTTGAAGAATTGGTATTAAATACTGTTAAAAACACTTTCTACACAGTAGCCATGTTTACTCGTCACAGAGGAACTAGTGACCAAATTGCTAACATGCGCAGGATTATGGAGAAAGCCAGAGAGTTCCAGAAAAACATCTACTTCTGCTTCATTGACTATGCAAAAGCCTTTGACTGTGTGGACCACAGCAAACTATGGCAAGTCCTTAAAGAAATGAGAGTGCCTGAAAACCTTATCTACCTCCTGAGAAACCTATATGTGGGACAGGAAGCAACAGTTAGAACTGGATATGGAACAATGGATTGGTTCAAAATCGGGAAAGGAGTACGACAAGGCTGTATATTGTCCCTCTGCTTATTTAACTTATATGCAGAATACATCATGCGAAAGGCTGGACTGGAGAAATCTCAAACTGGAATTAAGATTGCCGGAATAAATATCAACAGCCTCCGATATGCAGATGATACCTCGCTGATGGCAGAAAGTGAGGAGGAATTAAAGAACTTCTTAATGAGGGTGAAAGAGGAGAGTGCAAAAACGGTCTGAAGCTCAACATCAAAAAAACTAAGATCATGGCCACTGGTCCCATCACATCCTGGCAAATAGAAGGGGAAGACATGGAGGCAGTGACAGATTTTACTTTCTTGGGCTCCATGATCACTGCAGATGGTGACAGCAGCCACAAAATTAAAAGACGCCTGCTTCTTGTTAGGAAAGCCATGACAAACCTCGACAGCATCTGAAAAAGCAGAGACATCACCTTGCTGACAAAAGTCCGCATAGTCAAAGCTATGGTTTTCCCTGTAGTGATGTACAGAGGTGAGAGCTGGACCATAAAGAAAGCTGACCGCCGAAGAATTGATGCTTTTGAATTGTGGTGCTGGAGGAGGCTCTTGAGAGTCCCCTGGACTGCAAGGAGACCAAACTTATCCATTCTAAAGGAAATCAACCCTGAGTGCTCACTGGAAGGACAGATCCTGAAGCTGAGGCTCCAATACTTTGGCCATCTCATGAGAAGAGAAGACTCCCTGGAAAAGACACTGATGTTAGGAAAGTGTGGAGACAGGAGGAGAAGGGACTATAGAGGACAAGATGGTTGGACAGTGTCATCGAAGCGACCAACATGAATGTAACCCAACTCCGGGAGGCAGTGGAAGATAGGAGGGCCTGGCATGCTGTGGTCCATGGGGTCACGAAGAGTTGGACACGATTAAATGACTAAACAACAACAATGTTATATTAGTCAGTGCTTATTTCACTTGTGGCTTTAGGAAAGGCCTAGAACTGAATTTTAGACCAGCTATACCTTTTGAAAGTCTACTAGAAATGTGATTGATAATGAACCTATTTTGTTCCCTAAAACCTGTGCTTATTTATTCATCCTCTGCTTGTCAGAAGATGGTTTGTGGATGTAAGAATTGGTATTGTAGTTAAGGGTGCAATTATTATCTCTTACTCTTAGAGAATTCTCCTTAGGAATAAATGAAGCTGGCTATATTATTGTATTGCATTATGGAGCCACATAACCCAACTTGTAGAGAACAACTTCCCAAAGTCTTGAGTAGGGTGGAAAAATATCCTATTATTGGAGATGCAAAAACCCAAAACAAAACAGACCCTGAATTTGGAGTCTCTAACATACAGAACATTGGCCACCGTGGCCACTCCCCGTGGGGAAACTGGACCAATTAAAATGGCCTGCTCCCCGCGAGCTTCTCAAACATGATAGATTTCAGGGCGTCCTGGGGTGGGTTCTGACTGACCTGGATGGCAAGTGGAACTTTATTGTGTGGTTTGTGACCTCTCTGGCCCAGGACAATTGCATTGGCATTAAGATGATATATTTTCCTGTGATCAGTTTGCACCCCATTTTAGAACTAAGGTCAAAGCCATTCAATGGGATCTGGACTCCTCTGATAATGCAGTAGTACTCCCTGAGGTCACCAGTGATCCATCTTCTCCAGTCCTCCTAGATCAGTTTCAACCTGTGACATCAGACAACATCTCCAGGGTGCTTTCTTGCTGCAGATCTGCCTTATTCGATCCTTGCCCTTTTTGCCTTTTAACGTCTGCAAGGGAAGTCACAGAAGATTGAGCCGTGAATCCAATTAATTCCTCACTGCGAGAGGGCCATATGCCCTTTTGGGTGAAGGAAACTATTATATGGCCCATTCTAAAAAGACTTAATTTAGCCGCAGATGATCTGAACAACTACAGGTCAGTTGCTAATATCCCATTTATAGGCAAGTTAATTGAGATGGTAGTCATGGGGTAGCTTTAGGCATTCCTGGATGAGGAAGATTGCCTTGATCTATTCCAATAAGGATTCAGGCCATGTCATGCTTTTTTTCAGGCTGATTGCCCATCTGTGTCCTGTGAGGTTTAATGGTAGAGTCTTGTTGTTTCACAATAATTTCAGGCAACAGACGCTGCAGTGAAAACTGTGGAACATTTATTTGTGCATCAAGCAATAAACAAGTGTCCTGAACTGGTGAGCGTGCTTTGTCTCCCTCCTCCAATGGGTCTGGAAGGGGTTTCCAACCATCAAATGCAAGAGGGTTGCTATAACTATTATTTGAAGGTCCCAGTAACTCAGGGGGCATCCACCCCTTCAGGGCCGTCCCCAACGGAGCATCAAAAGCGTCCCGCTGGGTACCTCTCTCCTGCTCCAAACTCTCCCAATTTGTTCTCTCTCTGCTAGCCTCCTCATCCCCATGGCTGTTCATTCGATCCTCTCTTTTCCCTGTCTACCCGTTCTTTCTCCTCTGTCAACTTCCTTCTCCACTCTCTTGCTTCTGCTTCTCTCCAATAAGAGGGTTGTGGTGGGATCACCGTCCTCCACTTATAATCAGCTTCCTCTTTAGGTATCCTCAATCTCTCCCATTTCTGTGTCCAGAGGTCTTGCATCCACACCCACTCCCAACTGCTCCAGTGAGCAGGAATCCTGACTTGCCTTCTGTCTCACATGTCCCTACTTAGATGAGGGGTGTCTTAGGCCATTGGTTCATGTGCTGATGATCTTGAGGACTGACTACTGCAATTTGCTTTAAATCTTATATGCAGAAAAATTCAAATCTTTACTTGGAAATTATTTTGAATCAGTATGAAGTATAAAACAAGACAACACAATACTTTTCTTATGTTGTTTAGATTTTAAGAAGGAAATGAGAGGAATGAAGACTGTAAATGTACTATCGCAAAGGATTATGGCAAACTGTTAGTTTCTATTTTGCTCCAAAGTGTAGATATTTGCATACTTCTTTTTGGTGGAGAAAGCCTTTTCTTTGCTATAAGAAGTGTCTGATTCAGAATGTTAGTGGATTTCCAGTTATTAAGATGTAATTATATACCTACAGTATTTAACTATAAATCTGAAAAATCTCAAAAGCCATCTGAAAAGAATATTTAGAACCTAGTACTAATAAATTGACTCATTTTCTTGTAATTCACCAGAAGTAATGATATGAATGCAGCAGTAATATGAAAAGTACATTAATCCCTGGAGTTACATTGTGTATATTAAATTACTGCTCTTGGGGAATAAAACGTGTGAAGTCATTTAGCCTTCAATCATACGTATCACTTATATTCATAGCAGCTACACAATCTATTTCCATTCTAAGGGAGAAATTAGGCACAGTGCATTTCACTTTTTAAAAACTAGACAGGGAATCATATTTTAGGCAGCAATCTTGGAACTTATCTCAAAATAAATATAGGATGACACGAATTACTCCTGAGTCGAATTGCAACTCCAAGATGGGCAGAGGGACTTGGGGTCTATGTGCTTAACCTGGCTGACTGATAGCCTGAATCTGCCTGGCAGTGAGTGTAGAGTATGCTTTTCCCTTCTGGAACACCTGAAAAACTGGGAAGATACGTAGGATGAGATTCATCTGTTTTCCTTTCTCTGCACAGAGAAACTAGAAATGGGCATCAGGGGAAGGGGGCAGAGAGAGAGAGAGAGAGAAGAGAAGAGCCCAGCCCGGCCCCTTGCTGAAAGCTAGCCAAATTCATTGATTTGGGGTGGTGGTGGCAATCTTACAGCTGTAACCCAAACCCACCAAATATCTTGTTGTTAATACTGCTTTTTTCAGTTGACGGTGTCATATCTCTTTCACTGCTTTGTCCCTGGTCTGTGTGTAAATGAAATTTCCTTTCAATTTTCTTTGTGAAGTGCACTTTTCTGCAGTTTGAATGCTTGATGTGCAATTGTGTGAATTCTGCTGCTGATCCTTTCATATTTTTTATTTAAAGTAACTTTTCCTCTTTTTTTGCAGCTCTTGTTTAGATTGACATTTCACTATCTTGTTTTTGTTTTGTCTTCAAAAGGTAAATGCACAAGCAGCTCACTCCATTGCTATAGAGCGATTTTTCTCGTAATTGGGAAACTGACTGTATAAGCAGATTCCAAGAAGAGAATATAAGAAGCTACAAGAATGTTAAAAAGAATCATCATGTTTGCATAGAAAACACATGGGAAAATGGAACTTGACCTCACCAAAGATGATCTGCCTTTAATGGCCAATACTACTGACATGCTGGTGAAGCATTATGTACTGGATCTGGATGTTGATTTTAAAAGTCATGTGATTGGGGGCAAAATAGTTCTGTTCTTTGAAACTCCCAGCAGGTGTGGGAGAGAAAGCAGTGAGCAAGCGGAAGAAGGCTGTTATTCGTGGTCAGATGAAACTGGCGACATTCCCATGTCAAATGTGAGCGCCTGCTCACCTAAAAGTGGATGTAATGATTTGGCTGGCTGTGGTAAAGGTGAAAATGATACTTCTGATAAAAACGGTAGCTATGGCAACAGGGAACAGGCTTCTGGGATTTCTAGTTCAAAGAACTGCTGTGACATTGAGATTCATGGGAGTGAAGATTTCTTGCTGGTCCTGGACTGCTGTGATTTATCGGTGCTAAAGGTTGAGGAAATAGATGTTGCTGTTGTCCCGGGCATTGAGAAATTTACAAGCTCTGCCAAATTGGTGGGTACATCTAAGGATGCAAAGAATCTTAGGAACCAAATCATACATGAACTTGTGACATTATCTGCAGATCACTGGAAAGAGCAGTTTCACTATTACAAGCGCTGCAGCCAAGCGCCTGCTTGCGGAGAGCTTCACTTTGTTACTGGCCCTTGGAGTCTGGAGATCCGGAAAGCAGGTGTTCAACAGCCAAAAGACTTCCCTCGTGCCATAAGGATATGGTACAAAACAAAGGCGGAAGGAAAATCTCTTAGCTGGACTACAGACCAGAGTGACAGGTATGTATCAGTCTTCTTTTGTACTTGCAAAAGTCATAGATGTTAATGAGCCAGGTGGCTTCGGAGCTGAATTCTGAATAATAATCGAATTTTCAGGTTGAATTTAGATAGACGATTAACACAGCACGCAAATCTCAGAGCTCACAATAGCTTTGCTGGATTAGATCACCTGAAGACAGGATCAAGTGAATGCATTTCTTCCTTGTCTTGGTCGGTTATAAGGAAGTGCTGATTGCTGTGCATTTTGGATAGAAAGCATGGGAGGCAAATACAGAGCACTTTGACATTGCTCTCTCTCACACACACACACAGCACTGTGTGTGTGATGAGAGAGAGCAATGTGATGAGCAGCAAAAAATTGTAATTTTTTAGTAAATAAAAATTATATTTCATGACAGATTGAATGAGATAAAGTTCTGCACACTGTTTACTTTAATTTGTGTGTTAGGATCTCAGCGTAAGTTGACAGAAGCCATAATCTACAATTTAACTCCACGGCATGTATGCCATGTTCTGTAGTTGTACTAAAACATATAGATGTAAAGAACAGAAATACTTAAGAAATTATTGAACTTATCAATACAGTTTTTTAAATTTCCTGTATCTTGCATACTACTTATTTTTCTGTTGCCATTTGGTCCAGCCTAACTCAGTATTAACTTGCTCATTTATCAGCTCTTGACCTGATTTCCATGGCGAACTTTTCCATTTAGTATAAATTAAAGATGGTCTTATCAAGAACAAATTATTTTCATCACATAACTTGTGAGTTATTAACAAAATGTTTAATGACTGTTGAAAAGGAAAAAAGAAAAAGCAAGAAAAGATGTACGAGATTTTTGACTGCATCATGAGGGTTTTTTTTAATCATGTGAGGGTTATGAGAGTTTAAATTAGAGCGGGTGGGGGAAGGTATTCTAACCCTTCCCCATGTAATATTTTTTCAAATCTAAATCAGTTTCCCTGGAGTATCTGCTTACTCTTTGTGGCAGAACTTAAAGGTATCCTGTACCTTTGTATTTGACATACAAGTAGACAGCAGGTCATACAAAGGATGGAGCAATTCAGACAGAAAAAAAATTGCATAGGGATAGAGTTGACCCCAGTTTCCCTCCGATCTTAATTGCTATCCTCTTTTGAAATATTTCAAGATATGATGACATACCACTTCCTTAGCAAGTTTATTGAACTGTAAGTGTACACATTTAATGATTTCTTCACTCAGTGGAAGAGACAAAACTGCCTTGTTTCCACCGTAGTCTTTGTTTTCATTGTGTGTGTTTCCATGTGTAAAGTAGATATTTTCTTGTTGCTTATTTATTATTATATTTCTAATCTGCGTTCCCACTGCACTGAGATTGTTGCCCCCAAGTCAATTTTGCTGCTCTCCATCCATCTCTCCTGGGGCTTTGCAGTCATCCTTGATATACACCTAAGGTTTTAAAATCTTTTTGGAAAAATTTGTTTTGCTCTTGTGCCCTGCAGGGAGTGTGGGGATTTTTTTTTTGCCATGTTTTGAGGGGCACCCTGGGACTCCCCATACTCCCCCCAAGTTTTTAATTTTTAAAAAAGTTTTTACTAGAGGATACAAGGAGCTTTTTCAGTTAACACCCCCCCTTTTAAAATAAATCCACCCAGCAGTTAACAAAAACCCATTTTACGATATATAACTATTGCATTTTAATTTAAAAATGCATAAAAAATTAAATACAGAAATGAGTCCCTGTATTCCCCCTCCCTCTTTAACCTGTTGCCTCGGGAGTGTGGACTGACAAACATTGAAAAGCTTTGTGAAGACATTGGTGCCAAATAAAGGATCTGGCAATTGGAGCACAGACCCTGTGTCTACACTGTTCTCAGTTTCTTTGCCAAATTTGTCTTCTCTAAGCCTCACCATTTCCCCCCCTAAAATAAATGTTGCCACCGAAGACTAAAGTCACTGAAGACAAAAATTATTTTGTATTTTGGAGCTCAGATCACATATCTGCCAGAAATTCAAGAGTCACATAACACTCATGCTTATCATCATAAGCAGAAACCTCTAATGATTTATGTGCCCCACCTCTTCCGTTCATCAGGGTAACAGTTACCTAAGCCTCCAAAATTCTGTGAATAGGATTTTGGTAGATTCAGGCTTACTGGCTTGGAATAGTTCTATTGGTATCTCATCTAAATGGCAGTTTTTCATCACAGGATTCTTTTTGAAAGGAATCTGCCATCCTGGCATTTCTTCTGTATAGTTCTTCACTATATTGTGTTCATCTTCTCTTTATTTTATCCTGGTCAGATAATGTTAGCCTAGTCACCTTTCTGGCAAGAAGCAAAAGTATGACATGATGGGAATAGAATCTAAAATTTAGATGCAACCTTACAGCAACTGACACATAGAGACGAAGATAACAACTTGAATAGTTTCATCAGTGATCCATTTTGGCCTGCCCCCTCCTTTTGACTGAAAGAACTTTTTTTTGCATATTCACTGATAATATCTCTGTTTAGAATGGTTTTTTTGACTCGCTTGCTCAGATATTTGTCTATTCTGTTAAATGGTCTTATAGCTTAGTGCATCGGAGATTGATATACAGGTATCTGTATTTATTAGGAAGGAGAGATTGCAAAGTTACTTTTGTAGACTAGACTCCCCCAACCAACAGTGTTTTTTCTGTCTGAGGGATTATGGCTGGTATAGCCTTAAAATTAAATGTTCTGAGCTCTGCTTCCTGCTATGATAATACAGTAGTGAATCAGGATAGCAGCTCGGGGTGCGTGTGTGTCTTGGCTGGATGTATATTGAGAAATGGAAGCAAAATATGGAAGGTCCCACGCTGGATTTCATTTGCATACATAATGTATGTGCACATTCACACACACATACGAATGGTGAATTGGTGGTGAAAAATCAAATATGGCATAGTTAAACTATGATGTTTATGCTATTCAGTCTATATTTTTCAAGGAACGAATACCTTTGTTTCCCATGATTTTCGAAGTTTGCCTTGACTTTTCCCTGCAATTCAGATGACAGTGTGTCGCTTATGGGAATACCTGTGGCATTCTGATGCATCTGTAGGGTTAAACTGATGGCAAAAGTCATCTCATAAAAACGTCATCAGAAGTCCCTCTTCTGAAGTATAATATTCTTTTAAAAAAAATGAACCAGTAATGTATCTGTTTTATGAGACCCTCTCCCCCATTTTATCCTGAAAATTATTCTGTAAGATAGGCTTGGCTGAGAGCCACTGATTGGCTGAAGGTCACAAATAAATGTTGCGAGTAGACCGGGATATGAACTTAGATCTCCCTATTCCAAACTGAACACTGTAACCATTAACACTGTATGGGCTGTCTGAGATCAGTGGTAACTTTATATTTAGAGATACGTAGGGGTATTCGTATACGAATATCCCCGCACAGGTGGCGTTCACGAGGGTCCAGCTGCAGACGCGTGATCCGCTCACTACTCCTGGTAGAAGGTGGGAGGGCAAGCCTTGTTGCAAGGTTGAAGAGCGGTGAGCGGGTTGCGCGCTGCAACGCCGTTGGTAGAACTGCGTCATCCACATCCGCGGCGGATTGGTGAGTGGACTGTCTGGCTCCATCTGTGCAAGGATATTCGTATTTGTATGCAAATACCCCCATCTCTCTCTATGCTGAAACATTGTAATAGAAAGCAATGCTGCAGATAATATTAATGGTTAATTGCATATTATGCACATTCACATAGCATGCAAATAAGTTTATAATATTCACATGAGACTGCCCAGGTTTGGAGGATTGCAATATGGCAATCTTTCCCGTGGATTGTACTGGTGGGGATTCACATGACATAATGGTACAAAAAAAGTAACTAGACATAGAAAGCTAGCCTGATAGGCAGATGATTAGCTTAGCCCTCACTTGCAAGTCAGGTTTCAAGTCTGGAGGATGTAGTTAATTGTGGGAGAAAATTCAGCTGCTATCTCTACGTACACAGCCTAGACAAAAATGTCCTGGTTCATCCTAACTTTTTTTCTGCAATCAATTGATGCTACTTTTGCAGTTGTATTATGTACATGTTAGGTGACTGTTCTCTACAGAACAGTAGAAAAGCTTCTGTGTTTAGTGAGATTCCTGACTTGGAATAATCATTCTTCCCTCAGCCCCCAGCATGTAGAAAAGAGAAGATTGGTAGCCAGTTACATTGCCTTAAATCCTTTCCAACTCTTGTTAATATTTTTAGCTCTACTGTTGAAGTCTCAGTGTGTAGGAGGAGGATAACTGCATGTGTCAGGTAACAGGTGGTCTAGCTGTGCTTCCTCTTCCTTCAGTAAACATCAGGATAAAAGAATGGGGCCTGCTGGGCAACTGCAGTTAAAGTCTTGGGAAGATAGAAATAAAGGTCACCAGGCTGTGCAGCATCCTAAATATTTTATATAATATCTTTTTTCTTGATGTGTGAAGCTAGTGGCTGAGAATTGAGTAGACTTCCCATATCTCTGGAAAGACTTGTGGACATGTGTGTAAAAGCCAGTTCTTCGGAAAGGTTTCAGTCACTTTTCTAGTATGATAGCCAAAAAACTAAACCCAGATTTTATCTGTGTAGAAAAAGGCTGACAGAGTTGTTAGCGGTTCGTATTGAAGTCTCCATTGTGATTCAGAACACCACTGAAAGGAGCAAAACATGCAAGCTAGGAGCAGAGGCAGGTGTAGTCCTATGGTCCCCTTTCGTGTGGTTTCCTTGAATGCATCCTTAGCTTTCCCCATATAATTGTGTGACTTTCATTCAATACTGAAGGAAAATCAAGCTGGCCTTGGTAAACCATTGTGTTCTGGCAAAGTCTAACTAATCTTGTGTGGTCTCATCCTGAGTGGCTAGGATCCTGCAGGTAGCTCTGATTTATCCCTGTATAGGTACTACATCAAGATACTGAACTGGTTTGGATTTAGGCACTCCTACTCTTTACCTCCCCCTCCCCCCCCCGGAGCCACTAGAAGGAATTTGTCTTTCATTTCAGATTATCTGTGACTTGCCATATTATTTGAAGGCGATTGCCTACAGTTAAAATAAATTAGCTAATTTCAAAAAGTGATTTTTGAAGTTCATTTGATGTTGCTGATAGCTAACATTAACTGTAACTGAGACTTGGAAAATATATTTTTGGACTACAGTTCTCCAAATTTCCCAGTCAGTGTGACTGCAGGCAGACTGAGGGATTCTAACAGTAACAGTGAGATCTAGATAGGCACTAAAATGGAAGGGAAAACCTGATCTCCATTTTGTTTACACCACAAGAAAAAGAGACCAAGGTGTGCCCATTTTTGTCCTAGCTATGACATGTATCTAGCAGTGGAAAAGTGATATCCTTTTGTTGTTATTTTTCTTGCCTTAAATCCTAGTTGCAAAGAGGTCTTAGAAAAAAACTCAATATGTGTTCACTTTGCATTGAAAAATCCATAGAAGAAAATTGCTGATAATTTGGTTCTTTCTTCTCAGGCAAGACTGAGATGTGATGCACTATGGTAGCGTTGGCAGTTTGAATTCCTGTGCCTATTAGAAACTCAGTATTTCCTGTAATCAGTTGTATAGTATGCATTATTTCACTCTTTTTTCTCTTCCCTATAGGCCATGTGTTTATACTGTGGGGTCTCCAATAAACAACAGGGCCCTTTTTCCTTGCCAAGAACCACCCGTTGCCATGTCAACATGGCAAGCCACAGTCCGAGCAGATGCAAGCTTTGTTGTTTTAATGAGTGGCGAAAATGCAGCGGAAGTGACAGAATCTGAAGAAGGTACAGCATGTATTTGCCATCTTAATATATGGTACAAATTGTAATTTGAAAAGTGTTTTAATATTGGAATATATTTCTTCTCATAGCCTTGTGAGATTCTGAAGTTCTTCTCTAATGCTCACCTTTCTCTGAGTCTACCCCTCTCTGCTGCCCATTGCATGATTAGTTTTTTCCCCTTCCACATGTCTCATTCACATCTGCTGAAAGAGATGATACACTAAAATCCTGTGCATATTTGCTGAGAAGTTATTTGAAAGAGAAGACATTCCTGATTAATAGCAGTGCAAAACATTAGGTTGCAGATTGAGAACATTCGCCGTAATAGTTTATATTTTGGTGCCCTCGAATCAAAGTCATAGAGTAATGGAATTGGAAGGGGCCTGTAAGGTTTTGAAGTCCAGCCCCCCTTGCTCAATGCAAGAATCCAGGCCCATCTAGATCTGGTTGTCTGGTTTGCTCTTCAGTGCCTTCAGTGTTGGAGCCCTAACCACCGTTCAAGGTGATTGGTTCTGTTGTCCTACTGCTCTAACAGAAAGTTTTCTCCTGATATTCAGCCAAAATCTGGTTTCCCGTAACTTGAGCCTATTATTACATGCCCTGCACTCTGGGATGATCAAGAACTGGTCCTGCCCCTCCTCTATAGGAGTATCTTTCAGGTATTTAAAAGGTGTGATCATATCTCCCCTCAGTCTTATTTTCTCAAGGCTAAACATGCCCAGTTCCTTCAGCCTTTTCTCATAGGGCTACGTATGTTTCCAGTCTCCTGATCTTCCTTGCTGCCCTCTTTTGAACTTATTTCAGTTTGTTGGCATCCTTCTTAAAATGATTAAAATGATTTATTATTATTATTCATGAACTTGATGCAGTATTCATGATAGGGCCTAACTAATGCTGAATAGAGAGGGCAGCTAGTATGTCACGGGACTTGGAGATGATATTTCTGTTAATGCAACTTAAAATAACATTTGCCTTTTGCAGCAGCCACATCACACTGTTGGCTCATGTTTAGCTTGTGATCTACATTAATTCCAAGATCTTCTTTCTCTTACTATTACTGTGCCATTTGAGCTCAGTAATGTGCACTTGGTTTTTCTTCCCTAGGTGTAGAACTTTGGACTTACCCCTGTTAAATTGCATTCTGTTGTTTTCAGCCTTTACTCGAGCCTATCAAGGACTTTTTGAATTTTGTTCCTGTCTTTCAGGGTGTGCCACCCAATTTTGTGTCATCTGCAAATTTGAAAGGTATTCCCTGCACTCCATTATCCAAGTTATTCATAAGAATGTTGAAGAGCACCAGGCCCAGGACTGAGCCTTGTGGTACTTCACTTGTTACTTCCTCCCATTTTGAGAAGGAGCCAATGATAAGCACTCTCTGAGTACAATTCTGTAACCAACTGTGTATCCACATGTTAGTTGTTGTATCCAGCACACACTTAGTTAGCTTGCTAATCAGGATATCACAGGCCACTTTGTCAAAAGCTTTGCTCTAGTCAAGATATATTATAGCTATTGCATTCTCACCATCTAGCAGAGAGGATATTCAATTAAAAAAATGAGATAAGATTAATCTGGCAGGATTTGTTCTTGACAAATCCATGTTAGCTTCCAGTTATTACTGCATTGTTTTCAAGGTGCTTGTAGAGAGATTGCCATATAATCTGTTCCAGATTTTTTCCTGGGATTGATGACATGCTGACTGGCAGTTCCCAGGTTCCTTCTTTTTGCCCTTTTTGAAGATAGGGACTGTTACATACAGCACTGATGTTACCTGTCTGTCATGGGTTTGGAGGGAAAGTTCCATCCTATGGGGAGTGGAAGGCGGGACATCAGGAGGAGGGGCTGTACTGTATATATATGTGAAGCCTGTGTGGAGAAGTTTAGAGAAGCTGGAGAGAAGAAGCTGGGAAGAAGAAGCTGGTGTGGGAGTCTGTGTGTCAGACAGGGTACTACTGTGTGTCAGAGTACCAACCTGATAGGTTCAGGTGTCTGTATGGGTAGCCAGAACTGATGGGTTCAGGGTCTGTGCTTTATTGAAAGGTGTTCTGTGTGAACCAAACTGGTGTATGTATGATTGAGACTAAGCCACGTTACTGTATCTTATTCACTTGATCATTTTATTTTCCCTGTGTGTTATTTAAATAAACCTTATTCCTTTATTTGTTAAAAATCCATTCCTGGTCTGTGTGACTCCTTACAGGGAATGGTTGGTGGCAGCTTAGTGAAACTGTGGCATATCCCAGTAGGTCTGGGGTTGTCACATTGATAATGTTAGCCCTCCTCTAGTCATCCAGCACTTCACCTGTCCTCCATGATTTCAAGAAAAAAAAATAGGCAGTGGTTCTGAGAGTTCTTCAGCCAGTTCCTTTAATACTCTTGAATGCAGTTTATCCAGTGCTAGGTGTAGAACTTGGAGATTTGAACTCGTTCAAGGTAATAAGGCATTCCTTGACTATTTCTGTATCAAACTCCAGCTGCAATCCCCTCAACTTGCACATCACACTTGTCTGGAGGGTCTTTTCCTTGGGAAAAGACTGCACTTAGATAGGAATTGAGCAATTCTGCCTTTTCTTTTGCCATCTCTTATCATTTTTTCCATCTCCATTAAAGAGCTGGACCGCTTCTGTCTTTTGCTGTGCATGCATCTGAACCAACGCTTCCTTGTTGCTGTTAGCAACCTGAGCTCAGTCTCAGCTTTTACCATCCTAACATCATCCTTGCAATTCTTTACTATTTGCCTGTACTCTTGCTTTGTGGTCTTGTCTTTCTTTCTCTTCTTATATGTTCTTTGTTATTTTCAGGCCCTCTCTGAACTTTTTGTGAAGCCACATTTGTCTTTTTTTCTCCTGTCTTCTGCCTTTTTTTCTTATTGGAATTTTTTTGTAGTTGTGCTTTTAGAATTTTATTTTTAAGAAGCTCCTTCCCCCCAAATCTTGCATTCCTTCTGCTCTTAATATTTCCTGCCATGGGACCTTACTTATCATTCTTCAGAGTTTATTAAAGTTGGCTTTCTTAAAATCCAGTATACATGTGCAGTTACACTCTACTTTTGCTTCTCTTGAAATCAAGAACTCCAATAGAACCAGATAATTTCCCCCCAAGAGTTCCCCCCACTGCTATTTTTTTTCCAGAATTTATCTCGTTTGAATCAAATCAGGATAACTAATCCTTTAGGTTCATCCTCTATTTTTTGTAAAATAGGCATCATCATCATCATCTTCGAGCTGTAGAGCTGGAAGGGACCCTATGGATCATTGAGTCCAGCCCCTGTCCAATCAAACTCCCCATTTCTGGTTCTGCAGCCAGAGACTTAAGCCACTGAGCTATCCGGCAGGTATCACAAGCCAAGAATTTCTTGGAAGCACCATACTTGCTAGATTTTTACCTCCCAAAGGATATCAGGATAATTTAAATCTCCCATCATGTCTCTTGGAAATCCTTGCAATTTATTTTTCAAAGGTATCACCTGCATCTTCTCCTTGATTGGTCAGTCTGTAGTAGATATAATCACATTTCTTTTTTTTAAAACCCCAATTATATTAATCCAGATGTTCTTGATAAGACAACCAAACTCATCCTGCTGTATTTCTCTGCAGGAAATTTTTGACATATACTGTGACTACCTCCCTTTCTTTCTGTTCTTTTTGAACAATTTATATATTATAATTGCTGTATTCTACTCATGGGAGTCATCCCACCAAATTTCAATTTTCTCTATCAAGTCATGTTTACCCTCCTGAACTTAAATTTCTGTTTCTTCTTGTTTGTTTTTCATACTTCTGATGTTGTATATAGACATCAGAGACTGTGTGATTTGTAGCCTGTTTTCCTTCATACATTTTTATGAAGATTTGTTTTGAGGTACCTTTCTCATACAGTGGGGTCTTGACTTGAGAACTTAATCCGTATTGGAAGGCGGTTCTCAAGTCAAAAAGTTCTCAGGTCAAATCTGCATTTCCCATAGGAATGCATTGAGAACCATTTGATCTGTATCTGCTCTTTTCCTTCCTTAGAAATTAATGGGAAGCTGCCATTCTGCCTTCAACCACTAGAGGGGGGATATTTTGTTTCTTTTTTTCTTAGGTCAAGAAAGGTTCAGGGAAGGCAGGGAAAATACAGTCCAGGCAGTGCAGTACCAGGCAGTCCGAAGACTGTCTCCCAATCCACTCTCTAAACGCTGGGAGGAGTGAGGAAGCAGACAGGCACCCTTTTCACTGGCCAACAGTTAACTGAAAGTTCACATTTTGCACTTTCCCTGCCTCCCATGTGGGTTTTTTTCAGTTCTTAACTCAAATCTAAGTACTTAAGTCAAGTCAATATTTTCCTTTGAGAGCGGTTCTTAAGTCAAAATGTACTTAACTCGAGCCGTTCTTAAGTCAAGACCCCACTGTATCAGTAATAAGGGATTATGACTGTGATTTATTTTCACATGAAATATATAGGCTACAAAAAAGAAGAACACCTGTATCAGTTTGAGATAAAGAAAGAAGGGAGATGAATTAAAAAATAATTGTAACCTTACAAAACTAGAGTAAAATATCTGAGAAGCTCACTATGTAATAGGTTTCATCCGTTATAGCATGTAACAGTTAAAGCATGCAGATGTACAGTGTATATATGTACAGAATAATATAAAGAGCAGACATATATTTCTTTATGATTTATATTATACTAAAAACTGATTTTGCGTATCATGGGCTATCAAGCTGCATCAGAATTAAGAGAACTCGAGTAGCGTTTTCAATATAGGTAAGATACAGTAGTTTTACCTGTGGCACCAAGTGAGTTTCTGTGGCCAAATGGGGATTCGAACCCTGGTCTCCTGAGTTCTAGTTTGTCACTACACACTACTCTACTGTGGCTCTTATATGTACTGCATGCACACATGATTTGATCAGGTTGTTATCTGCTTTGAGAGCAAATTGTGGTGTAAAAGTGATATATAAATATAATTGAATGAATATTTTGCTGGTACTTTCCTTTAATACATAAAAATGAAGCCT